TATAAAAGATCTCAGGTGTGGTTGTAATCATTGTGACCTCTGCCCACTGGTACCTCATATGGAATGATTTAGCTCTTTTTAAAGTTATATCTCATTTATCAACTGTAGAAAACATTGGTAACCTAAGAGTTAGAAACTAAGATATTATATTTATCTGATATTGCCATTCAAAAATATTATACAATGGAAAAGATGCATTTGTTTGAAAATAAATCACTTGCTATATATTTCCTACCATTTTGTAAAGTCTAAATTTAAATAGTTAAACATGTTAAATTAAAGAAATAACGTTTATTTCTTAATATTGTAGTCATCTTTTCTTTCCTACTTAGTAAATTTGAGTGCCAATTAAGTTGAATCTAATGGCAAAAGAAATGTTGTGGTTATTAGCTCATAAGTATCTTTAACTAGTAGTTTGTAGAAGTGCTTTCCAAACATTACAAACAGCTATAGATTAGCTATCAAATGATTGTGAAGATTAATGACTAGTCTGTTAGCTGAGTAATTTACAAGAATATCTGGTAATTGGGAATTATTACTTTTAAAGTCACAAATACCTTAAGGAAAATGGAAAAAAAAGAGTCAAGAATGCTAATTGTTCATTTAGCTTTTGAACTGTTAAAGAAAATTAAAGGGAAATTTGAAAATCAACCAAGTGGAGAATTTTGAAAGTATTTCATATTCAGAAGGTAAATGCTTTCCAACCTGTGATTCTATTTATTTATTTATTTATTTATTTATTTATTTATTTATTTATTTATTTATTTATTTTTACATACATACATACATACCAGGAATTGAACCCAGGGACCCTTAACCACTGTGCCACATCCCCAGCCCTTTTTATTTTTCATGCTAAGACAGGGTCTTGCTAAGTTGCTTGGGGCCTCTCTAAGTTGTGAGGCTTCCTTTGAACTTGTGATCCTCCTGCTTCAGCTTCCTGAGCCACTGGGATTACAGGCGTGCACAACCATGCCAGACTCCAATCTGTGATTTTTATACTCACTCTGTATATCAACTATGAAGATAGAATACAGATATTTTCAGATATTTGTGGTCTTAGTTCATGTGCCATTTCTCAAGAAGGCAYTGCAGGATATGCTATACTGAAAGTGAGTAAAACAAAGAAAAAATAATGGATACAAGAAGAAGGAAAAACAACATAGAAGACAGATGAAGGACATCTATGGGATTAGAATAGAGGGAGATTTCTGGATGATGGTTTTATGGCTAACAGATGCTAGACCATTCATACTGGAGTAGCTTGATTCGAGACACACAAAAGGGCTGGCTATTATCACCAAAATGCCAGCAACCTCTATAACTTTTCTTTTTGAGTCTTTTCCACWCAAGATGACCCATATTGCTATGAGTACTTTTCTTGTCTCGATCATGTGCTGAGTAATTCCTGCTTGTCCTTCCACCTGTACCATCTGAAGATCCTAATGTTCCCTCCCAAAAACATATTCTGCTTTGCCCTATTTCTCAGGGTAGAGGTTGACCATGTGAGCTTAGAATTGGAAATATATAATAGTCTACTTCCTAACCCTTATTCATGCAAGATACACATTGCTTTACTCATACTACCTCTGATAGATGTTCCGGTTTTCTTTACTTCTGTATTTCCCAATGACCTTGTCTAAAGACTTCCCAAAAATAAGCAGAAAAGAGAATATTCTCAGAGAAGCTAAAGGCTTGCTATGACTTATAGATTTGGTATATCTTGTCTTCTCTTGCTTTTCTGAACCTTTAGTTGGCTGTGGCAATTTATGTATTAAATTTTGCTCTGGCTAGATTTGTGCTAGTTTTAGTATTAAAAAATAAGTAGTAAACAATAGAAATGTGGGGACATTGATTTCCTCCTAATGGAGATGGGGAGATCAGGGAGTACAATTTGCAAAGGACCCCTAGGGGAATTGTGAGATACTGGTAATATTCTGTTTTTTAACATGGTGGAAAGTACATGGGATTAAAAAATATTGTTCTTTAACCTGAACATATAAATTGCATGTACTCATTTTTATTGATACATTTAATTCAATTCCAAAAACTCTTTATTTCAATAAAATTAAAGCAAGCAATTATTGAAAATTAAACTCAATTCTATAACAAAATAAAATAAATTGTTTTCAAAATTAATATAAGGTTGATAGTATGTAACTTGGCTTTCTTAATGATAACTATTGTATCCGTGCAGAAATAATTTCCCTAAAGTCAGGTTTCCAGACAGTGATTTCTGTAAGATAGAAATCAGATTGTGTCTTTCTTCCACTCTTTTCTCAAGTGGCTCCCTCAGAAATAAAACCAAAATCTTTAACACAGTCTCTGATGCTCTACAGTCATGTCTAGCCGACAGCTAYTCCTCTGATCTCATCTTCTGCATTTTTCATTCTACTGGTTCATTGTTGTTCTTCAAACATATCAAGTGTATTTTTGGCCCCAGGGCCTTTCCATCTTTCCTTTTCACATAGCTTTCTCTCTTTTTTTATTCTTGTCTTTGTTTGAATATAACAGGGAGACTTTTCTCAAATACCCATTAAAATACACCCTTGCCTCCTAGACTTTCTTTTGCATTTACTCTTTGTCTTTTTTCCCTTCAAAGTTCTTATTACTACTTGTCATTGTCTAACATATTTGTTTATTTTCTGCCTCTTCCATTAGAATATAAACTCCATGAGGGCAGGAACAATGTGTTGTTCATCACAGAGTGCCTGGCATGCTATAGATGTTCAGTACATTTTTGATGAATAAATGTGAGTCATTGAACAATTAAAGAATGAATTTCAGAGGCTGGGGTTGTGGCTCAGTGTTAGCATACTCATCTGCCATGTGTGAGGCACTGGGTTGATTCTCAGCACCACATAAAAATAAATAATAAACAAACAAACAAACAAATAAATAAAATGTATTATGTCCATCTACAACTAAAAAAATATTTTAAAATAAAAAAGAATGAATTTCAAAGTAATTGTGGCATTATGGGTATAAAAGAAATTGATTTTTAAAAACTGCTATTGTGTCACTTTACTGTTCAATGTGAAATACATGCATTTCTTTTTGGAACATTAAAACACTCCCTAATATTTATAACTAAGAAAATATTTTAATTAGGAAAATGTTTATAGATAATATTCTCTAGATGTTTTTCATCTCTAGCTATGTCCCATTATGGCATGAATGTTATGTATATATCATAGGTAATGTCTAGTTAGTATGTATAGGAGGAAATTTTTGCATTGTACATTAGATATTCTTTTGTTTGATTCAAAAAGGCCTATGAAATTTTGTGTATTAAGAAAATCAGTTTTTCTTCTTTTGTTATTATCTACCATCCTTTCACACTAAGGCTCAATAAAAATTTACTGAATGAATATTCAGTGTGCCATAAATATAATATTAGGTTATAGGACACAACAATTTTAGCCTTAATAAATTATAGCTATGTTTATATTTTCTGCATGCATTGCACTTTTTCCTTTGTGTTTTTGGAGGATAGGGAAGTGGAGATTTCCTTTGAAACACAAGTAGAAATCACATAATGGTGGCTATAACCTCTTGAAGAGGTTATAAATCTTATGACATTATACTCACACTACTCTAGTTTTTTCTTTTTTCCTATTCAGTTGTTTCTAGTTACTGGGGTAAAAGGCAAAGCATAATATGGAAATATTCACAGTGCTGAATACATAGTTATCACTCACATGCAAGTAGAATGAGTGTATGGATGGATGGACTAACTGGAAATTTCAGACCATTTGCAACCAATTGATTTACCTTTGGGGAAGGTTTGGATTTTATTTTTTTCTGTTTTAAAAGAATTTGTATTCTTTAGCTTAGTAAGAAAATGGTCTGTAATTCATAGGTGCGTTAGTTTCTCATCGCTGTGATCAAAATACCTGGCAAGAACAAATTTTATGCCACACTATCTATTATCATTAAAATCATTTTACCAAAATAAGGATATTATAGGAAAAGTTTATTCTAGCTCAAGGTTTAGAGGTTTAGTACAAGGATGATGACTCTTCCTCTGAGCTCAAGGTGATACAAAATAAAATGGCAGAGGATGTGAAGGAGGAAAGCTGGTCATTTTATGGTAGCTGGGAAACAGAGAAAGAGCAGGAGGAAGGCTACAGGAAGATCAACTGTTCTAGGGCATTCCCCTGTTAGCTACCTCTTCCAGAAATGTCCCACCTACCTATAGTGACCACCCAGATAGTCCATTCAAATTAGTAATTCATCGAATGGATTAATCCACTGACTAATTTACAGCTCTCATAATTTAATCATCTCACCACTGAACATTACTGCATTAACACAGAAGCTTTTAGGGGATGCCTTGTATCCAAATCATAACAGTAGGTATATGGAGAGCTGCTGTAATAATGAGCACAATTAATTATTATTATTATTTTTTAAAATCTCTCCTGAAGACAAATCTTGGGGAAATGAGTTTTCACTGCACTTGAAGCAGTGTATTCTTCGGTGTATAACACTCTTCCCAAGGGTGTAGACTCAGTTTTTGGTACAAGTTATAGTGACCAGTAGAGGGTGAATTCTTTTTCTATATACATTTTAAAGAATGGGCTAATTATGTTCTTATTGTGGCTTTATGCCACATTATCTATTGTCATTAAAATCATTTTACTGGGACTGGGGATGTAGCTCAAGTGGTAACGTGCTCACCTGGCATGTGTGCGGCCTGGGTTCCATCCTCAGCACCACATACAAATAAAGATGTTGTGTCCGCCGAGAACTAAAAAATAAATATTAAAAAAATTCTCTCTCTCTCTCTCTCTCTCTCTCTCTCTCTCTCTCTCTCTCTCTTTCTTTTAAAAAATAAAATATTTTTACCAAATTAAGGATATTATAGGAGAATTTAAATTTTACAGTGTTGTGTAAACTGTGTACTTGAAAAGTTATTAAAAGTATTTTAATGTTATATTCTGTATGCTATACTCATTATTAATGTATATTTAACTGATTGTACTTTTAAAATATAGGTCACTTTTGAAATACACAAAGAAAACCTTGCCAGTATATTTAGGGAACAGCAAGGAAAAGTTGATGAAGAAATAGAGCCATGTTCCTCAAGTTCAGTCCAAGCCATCACTGGCATTAGCAGAGATGTGGATATTTCATTGGGATCTCAGCAGTCAGACATGAGGGATTCTCCTCTCTCTCCTCATTTCACCACAAATAGTGCTGAAAACTCAAGTATTGAGAAGACAAGTTCAGTAGACTCTGCATCCAACATTGAACTGCAAATGCAAAATATATCTAATGAAGACAGGAAAACTGAGCAAGAAAATCAGGAGTTACTGGCTGAAGTCACTTTGGAAGAAATAGCAATAAATGAGACAAAGAATGCAGGTGATTTAGAAGCATCTTCTGACATAGCAGAATCTGTGACTATTTTCTCTAATTCTTTTAAAACAGTTGACAAAGACACAACCATCATCAGTGAAATAACTGCTTCTCTAAGTTCCCCCTCAGAAGAGGATGCTTCAGAGATGCCAGAGTTACTGGAAAAATCTATAGCAGAGGAAGAGGAAGATGATGATTATGTGGAACTGAAGGTAGAAGGTAGTCCCACTGAGGAAGCCAGTCTGCACACAGATCTTCAAGATAATAGTTTGTCTCCAGTTGCTTCTGAGGCCAGTGAAAGACTGGACACGCTTAGTAATGACTGCAAATCAATATTTAAAGAGGAAGAACCTGTTACTAAAAAGCAAAGTGATAATGAAGCTCAAGATTCTAAAGATTCTGGGTTCTTGGCTATGCCAGCATCAGGGTCTTCTGCTACCTCACCAGAGATCACTGTTTCCCAAACAACTGTACAATCAGACGTTGAACAGATGCTGGAGAAAGGGCAGAAAACAGCTGACCTTGCTGGAGAAACTATATCAACTAGTGATTGTCATGGTAATATCTTCGAGGCTCCTGCTACTTCTGAGCAAAAGATTGCCAAGTTGGATGTTTCTACTGTTGCTACAGATACCGAGAGACTGGAATTAAAAGCCAGTTTGAACACAGAACCACCTCAACCTCAGCGCCATGTGCTTGAGGTGATTTGATTTTCTTCTCAAGTCATATTTGCACTGAGTTAAAATAGAGCCAATTTATATGCTTATATTTTATTTTTCTTTAAATTTGGTTCATATTCCTGTTTGCTGTTACATAAATGCAGTGAATGTAAAGATTGTTTCAAATTGTTAGTATTTGACAGTTAGTGTGTATTTATTAATTTTTCTTTTTATGACACTGGGGGTCAAACCTAGGGCCTCACACATGTCAGTCAAGTGCCCTACCAATGAACGACATCCTTAGCCCCAGTTTTGTAAATTGCAGCTTTTATTAATATTTTACCACAGAATTATCAAAAGTTACTATTTTCAAAATTCAGGATTGACATTATTTTAGTTTATAAAATAAATATTGGAAGTACTTATATTTCACCCTTCATTTGACTGACCCCATTTTAGCTCATTAATTTTCCAATGAAGTCTAGGTCTACAGAAATACTAGTGTAGATTTTAGTTGTAAAATTCATAGTTTAAATTGAACCATGAAGTCTGTGAGAGAGAGAAAGGAGCTTGTGTGCTATCTAGAGATGTAGTTTTCTCTTTTGTCAGTATTTCTAAGTGACAAAGTGAGATACTGGTTGCATGTTATCATTTGCCTCTTTACATTCTTGTCTTCCTCTTTTTTTTTTTTTTTGGTTTGTTGTTCATTATCTTTTTTTAATGTATTTTTTATTTTAGCTAATTTGTTATCCAGCAACTGCCTAGATTAAAGATTCTAAGATTCAAAACTAAGAACTGATTGATTCCTTTATGAAACATCACATAGTAGAAATTCTTAACATGGTTCTAAGTTAATTACTGTTGAATTGTAGTAGTTTAGAAGTTTTGATAACTTTGCTTTAGAATGTACTAAAATACTAATGTTATTCATTTTTCTAATGATAATTTTTTCTCTCTAATTTGGTTCTTTGGTGTTTTAACATTTGAATACTTGTTAGATGAATTGCATGATTTCTACTAATATTTTTCTTTGAAGTTGAACTCATTATATTACTTTAAAAATTTTCTGTATTAGATGTCAAGGCAACAGGAACAGCCAGGACAAGGAACAGCCCCAGATGTGGTTGATGGACAAAGGAGAGATTCCAGATCTGCTCTATTTCGTATTCCTGAGTTCAAGTGGTCTCAAATGCATCAGCGTTTGCTCACTGATCTCTTATTTTCCATAGAAACAGATATACAGATGTGGAGAAGGTTTGTCCATATGTTTACTATCGAAGATATGTATAAATCTTTGTTTTTCAAAGAAATTTATATAAATATTTTGCAATTAATTTTAGACTTTCAGTTTAAAAAGTAGAATATAAAATGTTTTATGGTAAGGTTTTATTGAGTAAACTCTTATTTTCCATTATAAGAATGAAATCCCTCTCTGAGAGGATTACAAAGATATGGCAGAGAATTTTCTTTAAAAAAAATTGCTGAAAATTTCTTGTAGAATATTTTATAGCATGCAATTTACTAGAAGGTAGGACTACCAAGTGAGGTTATTACTAGATGTACTACAAAATAATTAAGATTTAAGTATAATATTTTCCATGTCTCTCTTTAGTAGAAGAAATCTGTATATTTCATATTATCTTCCACTGTATGATTTATAATTTTATTTATTTTTTTAATGTTTTTTTAATGGTACTGGGATTGAATTCAGTTGAGCTTTTTATTTTACCACAGCCCTTTTTATTTTTGAGACAGGGTCTCACTGAGTTGCTGAGGCTGACCTCTAACTTGAATCCTCCTTCCTCAGCTTCCTGAACCACTTGGATTACAGGCATGTGCTACCATGCCCCACATGTTTATAATTTTAACAGAGCCTGATGTGATTATTTTTATTGTATATGAGTCTTATTCTTTTAAAAGCATTTTGTGGATTTACCTAAGAAAATGTTTGTTGAAACTAATTTTTAGAAAACATTTAGCACCATTTACCTCCTTATTTTTGCCACATCAGTAAGGATAATTTCATCCAATTTTTTAAGTCAAACATAAAATGAATAGTGTTTGTTTCAGAACCAAAGGAGGACATGTATGTTACCTGCTGCCATAGAATGGTTTACTTCTTCTGAGGAAGGTTATACCCCCAAATAATCGCTACATCATTGCCTTTCCTCAGTTTTGAAGATGAATCAAAGCACCTTCTTATCCTTCCTCTCCTCAAGTAGGCAAACTGTGATTTCCTTTGTTTAGCTTTATCAGTAAACATCATTTATCTTTGGACAGCCATTCAACAAAGACAGTTATGGACTTCGTGAATAGCAGTGATAATGTCATCTTTGTACACAACACAATTCATCTCGTCTCTCAAGTGATGGACAATATGGTTATGGCTTGTGGGGGTATACTGCCATTGCTTTCAGCTGCTACATCGGCTACAGTAAGGACCTAACTACTACATAGAATTGGTGTGAAAATATGAGTGTTATACAGCCTTATTGATTAAAACTTGAATGTGGTGGGTTACTATGCATAATAGCTTCTATACATCAAAAGCAACAAAATCTTTTGCAGTTACCTGGAAGGATTTTTAGAATTTGTTCCAGGCGTGAAAAGATTAAAATGAGTGTTGATTTTAGGGATGAGTCAGCTAGTGAAGAAAATGATTGACAGTGTTTCTCCCAATGTTCCCATTGCCCTTCTTTTTTAGATGAAAAAAGTAAATCACTCTATTGTACTGTATTTCTGAAAGCCTGACTGACTTTTTAAAAAATCAAATTTAGAAATTTGGGGAATATAGCTGGTAAAATTAGATTTTTATCAGAATTTTGATGTAAATGTCAAACTTTATTCCTTACAGCATGAACTGGAGAATATTGAACCTACTCAAGGCCTTTCCATAGAAGCCTCTGTGACATTTTTGCAGAGGCTAATTAGCCTTGTGGATGTACTTATATTTGCAAGTTCTCTTGGCTTCACTGAAATTGAAGCTGAAAAAAATATGTCATCTGGAGGTATTTTGCGGCAGTGTCTCCGACTAGGTGAGCTATTTCAAATCATTAAGAATTTATAGTTTTCGGTAATCCAGATATTACGTTGAAAATCATCTTTCTTTTGTTGGGGGAAGATATGTGCCAGCCAAGTTGTATATGTTGACTTTTTAGTGTGTGATGCATAGTGGTAGTTAGCAGGTTAGGTATTAGGGAGAGGGGCATAATTTGAACAATTTGCTAAGGTGATTCTGAGCATTCCTTCTTCTCCTGCAACCCCTTTTTGCTTCAAGAGTAGTGCTTCTCAAGTTTTAAGACTCCAGCAAGCATCTTGGTAGAGATTTAGATTAGATCATATAGACTGAGGTACAGCCTCAACTTGTCTCCCAATTCCCATGTGATGCTGGTTTCTCCTTTCTTGCAAACACACTTCAGTAACAAGTAGGTTTCTAAACTGGAATCATTCAAGTACAGCCTTTCTTCAAATAAACTCTGGTAATTTGTTAAAGCAGTTAATAGAAGCATAAAATCCCTATTTACCTGGAAGCAATTCTTCTTTAGGTGACAGTAAAAATATGCAAAATGACGTTTAGTCTTAACTAGGCTTCTTTAGGTAACGCAAAAAATATTTTTCTTTGCATAAGATTCCTTGTATCTAAGTATAAATAATAAACTAAATTGTAAATACTTAGACTTTGTTGAATTACTTGTTTATTAAATGAAGAGAAGATGATATAGTGAGGCAGTCCAAGAAATGGAAGCAGAATCTTAGGAAGCATGACCATGTGTAAACAGATCAGAAATAAGGCACCTATGAAGCAGCAGAAAACCCAATTAGTTAATGAAATATTTTTCCATGTTTAGCATGTTATTACTAATAAATACAATTAGAGTTTTTTGCACAATTACTATTTTTATTCAAAATGCCATTGAAAGTACTTTTAAAATTAGGATTCTCTAAGGAAATAATAATTTGTTAAGGTATAACAATTTATAAAAAATAGTTTTAACTTTTTAATTAAGAAATTCAAATTTGTGAGCATAAAATGAAAGCTGTCATTTATTGGCTTGTGATTAGTTCTGATTTTCAAATTGAGCTGTCATTTTGTTGTTTTTATTGAGAAAATTGTAGACCAGAGAAATTAGGAAACTTAAATTTGAAACCTACATTTGGTCAGATTGGAATTTGAATATATTTTTGCTGAACTAGTGTGGCTATTCTTTCTGTTGTAGTATGCTTCTTTTTAAAACTTTCTATTATCAATATAATTAAAATATTTAGGCTTTTTTTTTTTTTTACTTTTGCATATGTCATTTTAAAAATGTTTCCACTTCCTAGATTTCTTTCTTTGTTTTCTTCTTTTGTGTGTGTGTGTACTGGGGAATTGAATTCCGGGGCACTCCATCACCCAGCCCTATTTTGTATTTTATTTAGAGAAAAGGGTTTCACTGAGTTGCTTAGTACCTACTGTTGCTGAGGCTGACTTTGAACATATGATCCTTCTGCCACAGCCTCCTGAGCCAATGGGATTACAGGCATGCGTCACTGTGTGAGGCTTTTCCCTACATTTCCACAGTTAAAAATACAAGGCTACACTGGCAAAGCCTCATTCTACTCAGTAGTCATTTAAATTCAGAAACTAGGGAAATACTTTTTCTCATTTTCATAGCTTTAGAAAAGAATCAAGAGATGATTTGCTGGACTCCAGCACCATGTCTTTTTGCACGTGGTTTGACATGGAAAGGGACTTGTCCAGTGTCACTTAGTAGAGTGTGGTAAACTAGGGAAACAATTCCGATGTTTTGATCCCTGGTCTTCTCATTCATGGTATTTCCTGAGCTTTGTGGTTAGAAGGTGGGATGGCAATAACAAGAATAACCTGTGCTCCTGAGATTGGTTGAAATGATCTAGTGTGGTTTTTAACTTTATAATAATACAGACCCAAGTTTGATTTTATGTAGTCTGTGCCTAAAGTACAATTTTTTTAAAACTGGGCCTGAGAAGCAAATTTGACCAAAATTATATTCATATCTTTTCCCTTTCTTCCCTCTCTCCCTTTCTTCCTTTCATCCAAGTTTTGTTGCTCTTTCCAAATACTTTCCTTTTTAAATTTTTGTCTTCTAGTCATGTGTGATAGTGATATTTAACCTTCCCCACTTAAGTTTGCTATTTTGTCTCTAATTTGTTTCCCTTCCCCATCTTAATTTCAAATACTTTGAGTATTACAGATTTGTTTGAGAATTGAGATGATTATATGATATCAAGTAAATCATAGTCAAGTGTACATGACCTAATTCATCACTGAAAATTCAAAATTAATTTCTGAGTACTCTGTGTAACTGATCTGTTATAGCGGTGCATGCCTGTAATCCCAGGGACTTGGGAGGCTGAGGCAGGAGAATGACAAGTTTGAGGCCAGCCGTAGCAATTTAATAAAGGTCCTACGCAACTTAGCAAGATGCTGTCAAAATTTAAAACAAAAACAAAAACAAAAAAAAAAATCAAAGAATAAAAAGGGCTGGGGATATGGCACAGTGGGAAAGCATCCTCGGGTTCAATCATTAGTACCAAAAAAGCCACAAAACAAAACAAACTCCCCCCAAAACACAAGCCAACCCCCAGATAATCTGAGTAACTGATTGGTGGTAGCTCTAAAAAGGAGCTCTAAATTTTAGGCTCTGTATTAAATCAAATTTGCTTTTCTGTTTCTTTACCTTCTAAGCACTATTAATGAAAGCCAGTAAATACTAGATCCTATAAAGCCTAAATATTACACTGTCAGTCTCTGTTAATATCATATTCCAATGATACAATATAGGAAAAACATAAAAATTTCCAATTTAATCATTTTATTTCAATTAAGGTAATTGAAGATTATTATCTTACAACTAGTCAGTAGCAATGTGGCTTGCTCTGTTTTCTTCCACTATTATTTCAAATATTTACTTTCCCATTTCTTAATGAAAGGTTGACCCAGCTAGCTTAGGTGAGATCTATGAAAGAGGAACCTATTATTAAGTTTCCTGAAGTTGACTGGGGAGTGTTTCTCTGTGGTAATGTTTGCCTAGTATGTGGGAAGCCCTTGTGTTATTCCCATACCACAGTTAAAAAAAACAAGCAAGCAAACAAACAAACACGATTTACCGATTTCCTTTCAGCAGACTCAAAAGTACAAATTACTACGGTACATTTCCTTCCTAGATCTTAACCGGGCCTTATGACAGAAAACAAAATCAAGACACTAAACACTGAACATGCAGGGATGTTTTAGGAATTTGCTGAAGGCAATCCATTTCAAGTAAAGTCTTATGTAAATCATGTTATGTAGAAGATGATTTGTATTAGTTCCATAATCTTAAATATGATTTTCTTTTTTTTTCTAAATCTTTTTATTAAAACAAATGACAGTGTGTGCAGTGGCAGTAAGGAATTGCTTAGAATGTCAACAACATTCACAGCTGAAAGTCAGGGGAGATACAGGGAAAGGACTGAAAACAACCTCAAGCATTGTTCTCTTGGGGAAATCTGCAGCAAAGGTGAGTATACAGAATTGTCATTTTCAAAAAAGCATACTCATATTTCATAGTTAAGATCTTAAATTAATTTGTTCATTTCAACCTGAAGTTAAATAAATGTGACAGAGATTCTAAAATAGTTATGTTACTCTGTGAACATAACATTCAAATGTTTGTGTTTAAATATACAGTACAGATTTGCTTATACTTAATCTTGTCTGCTTTTCCAAATGTTTACTTTTCTTGTTTCTGTGATAGCTTTTCCTTCAAATATGTCAATTTTCCCACATAATTTCCCCCTGTATACGCTCTCCACCCTCTCAAAAAAAGGAAAAAAAATGTATGGAAAAAAGAATGTTTTAGCATGGTTTTCTCATTCTTAGAATACTGTGTTTATTTTTTTTTTAAATCTGTGTATTGTGTGTGTGTGTGTGTGTGTGTGTATGTATGTGTGTGTGTGTATTCACATATATAATGTATTTTTAAAAAAATTTCTTAAATAGAGTCCAGTGGACATTGTGACTGGTGGTATATCTCCAGTAAGAGATCTTGACAGGCTCCTGCAAGACATGGATATTAATCGACTCAGGGCAGTTGTTTTCAGAGACATAGTAAGTTAAAATATTTCTTTCAAGTACTCTCTTAGCTGATACATATTTTCTCCCTTCTGAGCTGAAAGTGCTAGAGTAAAAACTCTTTGTAATATAAAATAGTTCAGTAGAGAAAGGAAAGCCAGATCTCTTAACAATGATTTTAGAATCTTAGACTATTAAGAAAGAATTGTCTAAATAAATGGAGCTAGCATATCAGAGTAATGATGCTAAAAAGAATAATGCAGCATTTCACTGTAAGCAGTGTCATGGCTTTACATATTATCAGGAAGCCCAGCAACTTCTTGAGCTGTCCGTTTCATATTTCTCATTTTATAGATGAGGAATCTGAGTTACAAAATGCTTGAGTAACTTGGTCAATTGGTTAGTACATTATAGAGTCAGGATTCAAACCCAGCAGGCTTAATCCAAGAATCCATGCTCTCAGTGTAATGAAATATTCAATTTCTGAGTATTATATTATTTTACTGAATAGTGTATATTTTCCCCCCAGAGGTATATTAATGGGATTAAAAGGTACATAATGAAATGTTGCTCTCAATGTGTTTTTAATTTTTCAAAGATGAAAATAATTTTGGTTTAACTCATTTTGACCTAGAGAATGACTAATTTTCATGTAGATTAATTTTTTTTTCATGGTATTAGGTATTGAATGCAGGGGTGCTCTACCACTGAGCTACATCCGCAGACCTTTTTATGTTTCATTTTGAGATGGGGTCTCTCTAAGTTACTGAGGGTCTTGTGTTAAATTGTTAAGGCTGGCCTTGAACTTGGGGTTCTCCTGCCTCAGTGTTCAGAGTTGCTGGGATTATAAGTGTGTTCTTCCACACCTGGCTTCACATAGAAAATATAAAGTTATATGTAAGGTATTAGGATGTAAATAAAAATCATTTGTAATCTCATTCCCTAACATTGGGAATTTTATCATTAGTTTTTGTTGAACTAATTTACTGTATATTTAATACTGGATGCTCTAAGTATATATTATATATATTTCTTATGAACTTTATAACTGCGATTTTTCATTTTCCTTTCTCATCATCTGGTATTTTAGTTTTTTTCTTGTTTTGTTTAGTAGGTTTTTATACATCTATAGAATTTGAAGTGCTATCACTGCTTGCATATTAAATATTTGTGAATTTGCATAGAACTGAATATTCCATGTCCATCATCCTATTATGTAATTCTCATAATAATCATATGAGTAGGATTGCCACATGAGGTTAAATTTTTGCTTAAGATCATTCACTTAGTAAGAGGTAGAAATGAGTTAAGGACCTAGGGAATTTGATGGGGTAAGTAAGGATTTAAACAGGTATATACAATTCATAACTGATTAAGAAGTTAAGACCCAGTAAATAATTTGCTTACAGTTTTCTAGCCCACATATTTGTAATTAATTAATTTATTTTAATTTGGTATATATGACAGCAGAATGCATTTTTATTCATTATAAAAATTTGCAGCACAACTTTACATTTCTATGGTTGTACATGATGTAGTGTTGTACCATATGTACAGTCATACACGTACCTAGCTAGGGTAATATGTCCATCTCATTCCACCATTTTTCCTGCCCAAATGCACCCTTTCTACCCTCTCTCCTGTTTGCCCAACACACCTCCATTTTTCCCATGCCTCTGGATCAGCATCCACTTATGAGAGAGAACATTTGGTCTTTGTTTTTTTGGAATTGGCTTACTTTGCTTAGTGTGATATTCTCCAACTCCATCCATTTACCTGCAAATGCCATAATTTTATTCTATTTTAATTCTGAGTAATATTCCATTATGTATATATACCAGAGTTTCTTTACCCATTAATCTACTGAATGGCATCTAAAAATGTTCAACATCTGTAATAATTAGAGAAATGCAAATCAAAACTACTCACACCAGTCAGAATGGCAGTTATCAAGAATACTGACAACATAAATGGTGGCAAGGATGTGGGGCAAAAGGCACACTCATAAATTGCTGGTGGAACTGCAAATTGGCACAACCAATCTGGAAAGCAGTATAGAGATTCCTTAGATAACTTGGAATGGAACCACCATTTGACCCAGCTATCCCATCCTCGGTCTATGTCCAAAGGACTTAAGATCAGCATACTACAGTTGTATAGCCACATCAGTGTTTGTAGCAGCTCAATTCACAATAGCTAAAGTGTGGAAGCAATCTAGGTGTCCACATTTTTTAGTGGCAATTTTAGTAGTACTTATGGCAGAATTGTATGGTAGAGAAATATAGGCATAACTTCAGAAAAGGGATGTTATTTAAAAAAGAAAAATGTTTTATTTTCAACCAAGACTAAGAAGTTGTTACACATGGACCTAAAAAGTACCATAGATTTTGTCAGATTACAAATGTGACTCACATTACTTCAAGCATTTAAGGGAGAACCTGATATCTAATTTTTTTCCTGAAATTGATTATGTATAAAAGTTTTTGCAGCAGTTAATAAGTTTTAATCAAATTTGTGCCATTAATTTGTATCTATCTATGAGGAAACAAAACTTGTAGCCTTGTATGTGCTAGGCAAGCACTCTACCATTGAGCCACATCCCCAGCCCTCTGTTTTCCTATTCTAAACGTACTACTGGAGGTGCCTTTAGTTTTCAGGATTTAATAGACAAATTTGAAATTTTTTGTTTAAAATAATTAAGTTCAAGCCTATTTTGAAATGTTACTAGAACAGTGGTGTACATAGGGTCCTCTTGAAGATGGAGAATTGGATTAGATACAGAAGTTGTTGATAAACAGAGGTGGGTGGTGATCAATAGAGCTAGAATCAATCCTGGCCTCTTTTAGAGGTCAGTCTAGTTTGTTCTTTTACTTTTTTTTTTTTTTTTTTAGTTGTAGTTGGACACAATACCTTTATTTTTATTTGTTTTTATTTTTATGTGGTGCTGAGGATCGAACCCAGTGCCTCGCATGTGCTAGGCGAGAGCACTGCTGCTGAGCCACAACCTTAGCCCCTAGTTTGTCCTTTTTCTGTGGCAGACATTATGTTTTCAGTGCTGGGCACGTGGATGTCTGCACCACTCAAAATACTCTCAAGAATTCTTTTGGCATCCTGCTTTGTATCTGATAACCTCATTTTTTAATTTTTCTCCGTGAGTGAGTCTTTTAGTGTAGCTTGTAGTTGGCTGTTTTACATATTTAAATATTTAAATATTGAGTAAAAGTAAAAATATTAATTATCCTTGTAGTTATAATTACTACTTGATTTATCTCATAAAGTATGCTATGACATATCTCTTCAGATTGAGTTACTTAACTTTTAAAGGTGAGACTGGTTTTGTCCTTGTTTACAAAGTATAAAAGCTCTCACTTAAAGGCATAGTTCCAAAAGTCTGCCTAATCCTTTCTCAGGTAAGTTTATTAATACACTTATCACACAAATAAATAATAATATATTGTTCTCTATGATATTACAAGGTATGTGAGCATGTTTATATTTAAATATTGTGATGTGAAATGAAATCAAAACATATTATATAATAGTGTCATGAAAAACTACCTTTATTTTTTCCCAGGAGGATAGCAAACAAGCTCAATTCTTAGCTCTGGCTGTTGTATATTTTATCTCTGTCCTTATGGTCTCAAAGTATAGAGACATTTTGGAACCCCAAAATGAAAGGTGTAACCAGTCATTTAAGGAAACTGGTAGTGAAAATGGGAATTCGTCACTCCCTGGTAAGTTTCCATATTTTATTCCCTGGTAACAAAGTTCAAGTGAAACTTTACCTAGTTAAAATATTGATTTAAGAATTTAAATCCATTTATGTATAAAATGAGAGCCTACATTTCTTTTTTATTAATAAATAAGTAAATATTTTAATTTTTTAAGTATCATAATTAATTGCAATTAGAAGATAATATTTTGTTTTTAAATGCGCCATCTAATTAAAAAGTAAGTGGCTAAATGTTATTCTTTACAAATAGTTATAATTTGTTAAGGACTAATTCAAATTCTTTTATAAGACTAACAAGATGGATTTAATGAATAATGTGAATAATTAGAGTTTTGAAAATAGCTGTCAGTGAAATAAGTATAATTAGATAAGTAGCCATTACTAGTTATAGAACAAGATACCACTCTAAAGGAAATATTTTATTTATTCAACATATACTCATTCTGTACCTCCTGTGTACTTGAGTATATTAATGAACAAAATAGGAAAAAAATCTTTGCCTTCATGCGTCTTATTTTCTAATGGGAGGAGATAAAAATATGTATGGGGGCTGGGGTTGTGGCTCAGCGGAAGAGTGCTCACCTTGCACGTGCAGAGCCCTGGGTTCCGTCCTCAGCACCACATAAAAATAAACAAAATAGAGGTATTGTGTGCAACTACAACTTAAAATAAAATAAAATAAATGTATGTACTAAATAAATTATATTGTATTTTAGAAGATTGTAAGAATGCTAAAAATAAAAAAAGAAAAGGAATAAGATAAAAGTATCTGTAGTAACTAAGAAAGATAATGTGTAGATTTTTTCTCTATGGGGAAGGAGGAATCATTGGAGGATTTTGAGTATAGCAGTTAAAATTTTCAGGCTTTTAAAAGTAATGCTTTGGATTCTGTATTGAGGATAACCACTAAAGGGCAAGAAAAAAAATCAGTATTTTTGGCTATTTACTGCTATGTAACACATTACCTTGGATCTTAGTGGCTTAAAACTTATACTACCTTAGTCTTGTCTTCATAATCCTGAGCATTAGATTTGGGTAGGACACAGTGGGGAGGTTCATCCCTGCCCCATATGATGTTTGCTGGGACTGGAAAGTCTAAGATGGCTTCTCTATTCATCTATTTAGTGTCAGACATCTCCAATAGTTAGAGCTGGCTGACTGAAGCCACTAAGCTACAGCTGTAGCTGGGGCCTCACACTGTTCACTTAATTCCTTGTTTTCATTCATCAGTTTGGAAGGCCTTTCTGTTTGGTCTTTCCACATGTTCTTTCCAATAGAATAAATCATAAATCAACAGGGATTCTGGGACTACTAACACTGCCAGACCTTCTTCAAACTTTGGCCCAGAACTGACCCAGTGCTACTTCTGTCACATTCTGTTGGCTAGAGCAAGTAAGGCCCTGCCTAGATTTAAGGATTTCTCAAGATGGGGAATACCAGAAAGCATGGGGTAGTAGGATCATTATAGTAATTGCCTTCTGGAATCAGTGAGGAGGATAGTACGGTAATCCAGGCAAGAGATTATGGTGGGTTGAACTGAACTGTAATGGTAGTTGTGGAGATGATGAGAAGTAATCAGAGTGTGGATATATTTTGGTGACAGAGGAAATAGAATTTTAAACCATTAGATTTGTGTTACGTGAAAGATAAAAAATAAAGTATGTTTACTAGGTATAGTTGTGTAGACTAAAGATGAAACAGATTTTCAGGGAAAGATAAGAAATTCTATTTCCAGCATGTTGAGCTGAGATGTCTTTTGATATAGAAGTCGTGGAATAGGCAGTTAATATATAATACTCTGAGTTTTTTTTTTAAATGTGTGTGTGTTGGTAGTAAGATATAGAGGTATGAGTGGATGTTGAGAGAGGATGAGATCACTAAGGGAATATAAGTAGATAGGGAAGAGTACCAAGAACTTAGGATCAATGAACTGAGCCCTAAGTTCCTCCAACCTAATATGTGTTAGGGAGAAAAAATAAGTGAACAGTGTTAAGAAGGACGAACTAGAGAGTCGTAGAAGGAAAACCAAAAGAGTATAGCATCCTGGAAGACAAATGTAAAAAGCATTATCTAATTAGAGCAATCAGATACTTATTTTGACAAATGAGAACCAACCACTGGATTTAGTAAGATCTAACCTTTGGTGATTTTCATAAAAGCATTTTTGTTGGAATGGTTGGAAACCTGACTGGAGGGATAACAATTTATTTAGTACATACATATTTTACCACAGTGGAAACCACCCATGAGTTAGAGGTTTTTATTTTATCCCAAGGATTTTGGACTTTTTCTTAAATATCAATGGCTTTCAATTTTGTGTTGCTTCTCATTGGTATGTCATGATCAGTTTGGTGGAGTTTGGCATATATTTTGTTATCCCATCTGTTGTGATTAAAAGTGCATTCATTGAGAATATTTCATAGATTTTATAATTAGTTTTTGCTTTATAGAATGTGACATATTTTATAACTTAAAATAACAGATGGCTATTGGCACTGAATACGCCTTTTTAATAGTAGTTCTAATTTTATAAATTTGTTCTTTTTCTCCTGTTTCTGGGTAAGATATAGAAAACACACCTGCAGCACTTAGCCCTTTAACTCCATCGTCGGTTGAAGAATCAGTGGAAAGCACATCATCTACTCGAAGGAGAGACTCAGGCATTGGGGAGGAAACAGCTGCTGGTTTAGGAAGCAATGTGTATGTAACTCCTTCAACAGCACCTCTGGGTGTTAGTGCAGGCCCAGATGCAATCAGCGAGGTGCTATGCACTCTTTCATTAGAAGTCAATAAATCTCAAGACACCAAAAATGATGGAGGAAATGAATTGGATAACAAAGTGACACCCTCAGTTCCTATTTCAAAAAATGTCAATGTGAAGGACATTCTTCGAAGCTTGGTTAACATACCAGCAGATGGAGTCACAGTGGATCCTGCCCTTCTGCCACCAGCCTGCCTTGGTGCTCTTGGTGATCTGTCTGTTGAACAACCTGTGCAGTTCAGATCTTTTGACAGGTACTGTAAATAGTCTTTTGTTTTGATATGCTTACATTTATAAATTTTAAAAGGTAAACAGGAATTCAATTTAAATTTGCTAAATTTTGTAGCTTTAACATTAGCAGGGACGTTTTGATCTGTTTTATAATAATTTTAAGGATATTTTTGTTTGTACAGCATTTCAAMTAACTTTTTTTGGGGGGCCAGGGGATTGTAACTTACAAATGACTACCCATCACTCCTTTGCTGTCAGTATTAACCAGCTTGGCGGGGCCCGTGGATTGGCACTAAGTATTTGAGATACATGTTACACTTAAGTGTTACATTCCCTGTATATACATATAATACTAACAAATCAATAAAACGGAAATGTGACAAAACTGGACAAATGATAGGTATAGGCAGTTTATATAAGGAGAAATACTGGAGTTGGGGATGTAGGTCAGTGGTTTGCCTAGTATATGCAAGGCTCTAGATTTAATCTCCCAGCACTGGAGAGAATTTACATTTTTACATATTTACATTACTAATATAGAAGGAAATGCATATTAAAATAACCACAAAATAATTTTCCTCATTTTAGATAAGAAGAGATTTTTAAAATGATACCTATTACTAATGAAGGTATGAAGAAACATTTAAAAAATATTTTTAGATGTTGATGGACCTTTATTTTATTCATTTATTTATGTGTGGTGCTGAGGATTGAACCCAGTGCTTCATGCATGCTAGGCAAGTGCTCTACCACTGAACCACAACCCCAGCTCCATTTCTGTTTTTGAGAGGGTATATTGCTATAATTTATTGGAGGGCAAATAGGCAGTGTTAATTAAAAATTAAAATATGAAAGTTCTGAAAGCTTATTCAGAAGAAATATACAACTATAAAAGTTTTCTGAAAGAGGAATTTTATAATTAAACTGATACTATTGAGCTTTTTCTCTATGGAAATCTTATTCTAAATGCATTAAATAGATAATTACTGTTTTTAACCCTTTGTACACATGAAGAAACAGAGACATAAGAAGTTAAGGAAGTAGCTTGCAGTTTTTATGATAGTTAATGGAAGAACTAATACTTGAACTTAGGCAGTCTGACCATGTTCTTGAGGTGCTCAATGCAGCATTACTTGTAATAGTGAATTTAGTTGCTGACCTATGAAAGATTGGTTTCATGTGTTATTTTATGCAATAATTAATGCAGKTTGTACATCCTAATTAGGAAATCCAAAGTGCTTTAAAATCCAAACCTGTTTAAGCACCAATTTACCACAAGTGGAAGATTCTACATTTGGCCTCATATGATGGATCAGAATCACAATATAGGTGCACTAAAATATTTTTAAACATTGCCGTCTGTCTATGTATAAGATACACAGGAAACACAAGTGAAGTTTTTTTAGACTTGGGTACTATCTCACACTATCTCATTAAATATATATAAATATTCAAAAATCTAAAATCTGAAATTTGAATCAATTTTAAACCCAAGCATTTTGGATAAGGAATACTCAATCTGAACTATGTGGCCATTAAAAAGAAAAAGATAAAATACTGTGTATTGAAGTGAAATGTTAACAAAGATTTAAAAAAAAA